CCTATAAAGTGATGGTGGAGAGGAGGGCTGTCCGCCTCCCCTGCTGATCTGACACTGCGTGGTCACGCATGCACACAAAAGAACCTTTGTCCTGACCCTGTGATACGCATTTACATACACTCTCTCTTAAGTAGATCAGTCCTGGGAGGTCAGACTGTAAATGTTTAAGGATGACTTATCTCAGGACCACTCACTTAGAAGGAGATCAAAGGCAGGAAAGGGAAGTTTGAATCACCGGAATTTAGAATAAGAAAAAGGAGAATCTATAGGATCACACAACTCAGCAGCCTCCATTTTGGGCTGAGAAAACCCGAGCTAGGTGGTGGCCTGGACAGGTCGTGCTAGAGGCAGGTGGATCAGGACCCGGCCCGGGCTCAGGGCCGTCCCCGGCATGGTGTTGGACTCGACAGGTTACACAGGTCTCCTCTTTGGGCTGACCTTGCGCTTGGCTCCTGCTGGCTCTCAGAACAGCACTTCCACAGCTCAGGGCCCCGCGGATGATCTCTGATCACACCCAGGCCCAAGCTGTCCTCACAAGCGCTCCCTGTGTGCAGGCTGCACTCCCCTGACCCCAGGCCCACCTTGGCCATACTTTGCTGATTCCCAGCATTGTCTCTCCCATGCTGCCCAGAAACAAAGCAAGAAGGAGGTCTGCAGCTTTTGACAAGAGTCTTGGGGCCCTGGGAAATTTCTCCTCCCAGGCTGTTCTGCCTGTGTCATCTGTGAGGGACACCGGGCCACCAGGCTTTCTTGGGATCACAGTCCCAGACACAGCTTGGTGCTGCTGTGTTGGAGCAGGTCCTTGGAGAACAAACCCACGGGAGGCATCTAGACCAAGCTCCCTGCACCTCGCAAAGCAGACATCTGGGTTTTAGCACTTTCCCTAAGTCTCCATCTGCCCAGGGTGACCGTCATTAACTCGATCAGTCTGTACCCTGCTAGGGGAAAAGGTGAGGAGATCCAGCCTCAGCAGGTTCAGGTTCAGGCCAGTGAGCAGAGTGCCAGTCTTCCCTCTCCACTACCTGCGGAAGGTGGCCAGCCCGCTGGGCTCCTGGGTCTGCCCCTGCTGGGTCTCCTGCAGGTGGTGTGTGCGGAGGGACGCTCTGAAGAGCTGCGCAGTGAAGATAGAGGTGGGAGGGGGTGGGGGATCATGTGCAAGTTCTGGAAGTGCAGATCCCTAAGAACTTTCTCCTACTCCCGCCTCCCGCTGAGGAGCCCCGCTGCCTGGGGAGCCTGTGAACGGGAAGGGGCCTGCCTCTTCTGCGGCTTGGGGAGTTCCCCAGAGCTGGAGCTCTCAAGGCAGCTGCTTCTCCTCTAGGGCCCTGGAGGCGCCTCAGCAAGCAGTGTGCAGGGCAGCCAGGCAGACCACCGTGGTAGGCATGGCCGTGTTGGCCACCTGGGCAGGGCTCAGTTTTCAGGTGGTGACAGGAACAGGGTTGCAGCCAGCGAGAGCACCCAGAGGGGCTGTGAGGGGCTGTGGACAGCACCCCACGCCCGCTGTCCCTGTGAGCCCTGCGGTGACTGAGGGGTCAGGCTCAGTCCTGAGTGCAGCAAGAAAAGCTGAGCTGATCGTTGAGGCCTGTCCAGCAGCAGGGAGAAAACCTGAGTCCCTGGCAACATCAGCCTCTGAGGTCCTGGAGGGTCCCCACCCTTGTGAAAGAAATGGGGAGGAGGGGAATAGCTGTGTATCTTCCCAGAAGAATTAAAAACATCACACCACAGTGATATATGTGCACCCATGTTTATAACAGCACAATTTGTCATAGCTAAATCTTGGAAACAACAGAAATGCCCATCAACTGAGGAATGGATAAAAAGATGTGGTATTTTTATACAATGGTGTAGTGCATTGACAGCTGGTGGTCAACTTATAACCCCCAGCTGAACTAAGTAAGTGTGGTGCTGGGTATGGCAGGCCCATCTGAGGACTGTTGCCAGCAGCTTAAGAGGCAGAACTGGGGAAGAAGAAGAAAGGCTGTTGGGAGCTGACAGAAGCTGTAAGGAGCTGTTTGTTCTGTTAGAGGAGCTCGTCACACTGGCTTTCCTGATGAACTTCGCTGTTTTCATCCTCTGAGGAGCTTGGGGCCTCATTGACACTGAGAATAGCTTTGGTTCACTCTGGGGGAGCTCTGGTCCTCACTTTGAGCATCGCTTCCTGGCTCTGGAGGGGAAGATGGAACACTGCCAGTTTCCTGGAGAAACCTGCTGCATTGGCTTCCCTGATGGGAACTCGGCCACATTGATCATCAGAGGAGCTCGGGACCTCACCGTTGCTGAGGATGGCTGTGGTGCCTTTTGGGGGATCTGTGGTTCTTCTGAGTGTCACTTCCTGGCTCCCATGCAGATCCCTCAGCCTGCTAGCACAGATCCTTCATCCCTCTGGCACAGACTTCCTAGATTCCACCACTGACATCTGGGCCTTCCCAGCACAGATCTGTGAAACAGGTCTGCATGAGATATTGTCATGGGCTCTGGGCCTCCAGGTAGACTTGTGGGAGGCATTGTTATGAGCTCTAGGTCTTCAACTGGACTCATGCAGGACATTTCTGTGGGATCCAGGCCCTCAGCTGGATTCCTTGATCCTAGTGTGTGGACAGATTTCCTGCACTCTTTTGTATATTGTTCTTCGGGTGACTGTTGTAAATAAGCATATAAAATGTGTCCTGTATTATATTGTGTTCCCTTGCAAAAATATCCCCTGAACCAA